TTTTTTTTTTTAAAGATTTTATTTATTTATTTGATAGAATGAGAGAGAGAGAGAGCATGAGATGGGGGAGGGTCAGAGGGAGAAGCAGACCCCCGCTGAGCAGGGAGCCCGATGCGGGACTCGATCCCGGGACTCCAGGATCATGACCTGAGCCGAAGGCAGTTGCTTAACCAACTGAGCCACCCAGGCGCCCCTTAAAATACTTTTTTTGATCTAGATTCAAAATAAGAAATGCATCACAATCTTCAAATCACTTGCTCATACATATAAACACCTGCAACAAAAGTTTCTGTAACAGTAATTATGTATCTAACACTGGCATTTTCTGTTGTCTTACTTAACTTGAAAAAAATGTGACTAAATTAACTTCATGACACACCCATTGGTAACAACCTGCAGACTGAAAATGATCTAGAAAATTTCTATTCATGTATAAAAGTTTTATATAAAAATAGGATAAAACCATAGGGCTCATGGGTGGCACAGTTGGTTAAGTATCCAACTCTTGGTTTCAACTCAGTTCATGATCTCAGGGTTGTGAGATCGAGCCCCACATGGGGCACCACACTCAGCGCAGAGTCTGCTTGAGATTCTGTCCCTCTTCCTCTGGCCCTCCTGCTCATGCTCTCAATCTCTCTCTCTAAAATAAATGAATAAATCTTTTTTTAAAAGATGGTATAAAACCATACAACTTATGTCTTTGCTACATTGTAGTTTTAAGTTTTCATTTAAATTCCAGTTAGATAACACAGTGTAATATCAATTTCAGGTGTACAATATAGTGACTCAATAGTTATAGTTATATACAATACCTAGTGCTCATCACAAGGGCTCTCCTTAATCCCTATCACCTATCTAACTCATCCCCCACCACCTCCCCTCTGGTAACCATCAGTTTGTTCTCTATAGTTAAGTCTGTTTCTTGGTTTGCCTCTCTTTTTTTTCCCTTTGCTCATTTGTTTTGTTTCTTAAATTCCACATATGAGTGAAATCATATGGTATGTCTTTCTCTGACTTATTTTGCTTAGCATAATACTCTCTAGCTCCATCCACATCATTGTAAATGGACATTGTAGCTGTCTTTATTCACATTCTTTTTGCATTATTTGTTAATATACTCTTAGTGTCCCTAAGACCTAAAGCATACCCTATATCCTCATTTGTGCTTTCCTTACTTGTACTTGTATCCAGGAAGAAATAATTTATTTTCTAAAATGACTTTCTAAGGCAGTGCCTGGCTGGCTCAGTCAGAAGAGTTATAAGCAACTGATGAATACTAAACTAATGAGGTACTATATATTGGCTAATTGAATCTAAATTAAAAAAAAAAAAGCATGTGACTCTTAATCTCAGGGTCATGAGTTCAAGCCCCACATTGGGTGTAGACATTAGTAAAAAAAAAGAAAAAAACTTAAAAAATAAATAATTAAAATGATTTTCTAGGATATAGACCAGAAGCATCTGTTAGATCAGAGGTATATCTTAAAACTTCCACAAGAGATGCTCTATTTTTACATGGAATTTCCTGTCAAACAGGCCAAGCTGTCCACATCATGCTTATTCACTAAAATGGAATTTGAGGTTGGAGGTATTATTACTTGAGTTATGAGTAATGTCAAGATCTCCTTCCTTTATGCCCTTTTATGTATGCATGTATGTAAGACTGCTTAGTTATTAGTTTTGTTATGTAAATAGTTTCATGAATTTAATCACAGACCTCGATGCTTTTCATAAGAGGTGGGAAATATGACGAAGTGTTTCCACTTAAAAGGTGCAAATAAAATGCATAAAAATGTTCTACTGAGGTTGTATAATTTATTAATAATTTCTAGATACCAAGTAAACTATAAATATTATTTTTATTATACTATTTATTATATATATTATATTATTTTTATTTAGAAAGAATAAGCATCAAAAAATAAGCATCAATGAATTTTAAAAGGTAACATTTGGTAACTGACATAATTTAACTAAAGTATTACACTTAAGAATAACAAATAGGATATGTATCTTACAACTTTTAACTCATTTTTTAAAATTTACTTTTTATTTTGAAACGATTTCAGACTTACAGTAAAGTTACAAAATAGTACAAACCACTCAGTGCCAAGATCTTGGTTTCTAGATATCATTTTTCAATAAAGGGAACAAGCCTCTGGAAAAATAGCCCATTTAGGGCTGGGACAAGGAAAATACAAGATAAAGCAGAAGCATTTTATAGTACTAGAAAGCAAGGAAATGCTCACAAACCAAAAGGATGGGGACATGTCAAAAGGCCATAGTTTACCAGGATTCCCAATGGCTAAAGCCGGAACTATTTCAGTGACAAATGTACTAGATTTAACCCAAAGAATGAAACAAATATACATGAGTCCATAGAAATATAAAAAATAGAGAAGAGTCAAATATTCATTATAAAGGATGTAGAATCTATCCTGTCCAGGAGGTGAGGCTTAACCTGCCCCACCCCTGCCTTTGAGAGTGGGCTGGACTTAGTGACTCCCTCCCAGAGTAAGAAAAATTGGAACTTTGTGGGCGCCTGGGTGGCTCAGTTGGTTAAGCGACTGCCTTCGGCTCAGGTCATGATCCTGGAGTCCCGGGATCGAGTCCCATATTGGGCTCCTTGCTCAGCAGGGGGTCTGCTTCTCCCTCTGACCCTCCCCCCTCTCATGTGCTCTCTCTCTTTCTCTCTCTCAAATAAATAATAAAAAAAAAAAAGAAAAAAAGAAAAATTGGAACTTTGTATATAGAGAAGAAACCTGGCAGATACTACCTTATCTAAGATATCAAGATTTAGATCACTAGAGATACACTGTTGATAGCATCTACTCCCCAATATAATGTGATGAAAAGGGTACTTCACTTACATACACACACACAACAAACCAAAATTGAGGGACATTCAATTTCACCAGTATCCTCAAAACTGTCAAAGTCATGAAAAACAAGAAAAGATTGAGAAACTGTCACAGACCAAAGGAGATTGGAGAGTGATGACAAATAAATGCAATGTGGTACACTGGATTGATCTTTAAGTAGAAAAGGGACATTAAATGAAAAAATTACAAAATGTGATTAAAGTTTGAAGTTTAAAAGATCATAGAAAACAGGTGAAATCTGAATAAAATCTGGGGTTTAGTTAACAGTAATGTGCCAATATTGGTTTAGTTTTCAACAATGTACCACTAAAAATGACAATATCAAAGAAAATTAAATTGGGTGAGGGGTGTACTATCTTTTAAACTTTTCTGTAACTCAAATTATTCCAAAATTTAAAAGTTTATTTAAAAAAATTACATTTTCCTTAAACCCTTCACTCAGATTCCCCAAACTTTAACATGTGCTTTATCCGTCTTTCTCCTCCCTCTACGCTTTTCTGAATTTGATTAACAAGCTGCAGACATCATTCCCCTTTATAAATATTTCAATATAGTTCCTTAAAAAGTACATTTATCAAAATAAGTAAATTACTATTAACATAGCACTATCCAATTTACAGACCTTCACATTTTGCCAATTGTTCCATTAACATCCTTTATGACAGAAATAGAATAATTTTTTCTGTCTTGTCCAATGACTCAGCCCACTGTCATACATTGTATTTAATTGTCACATCTCTTTAGTCTTTGATCTGAAACAAGTTCCTTATTCTCTTTCTTGACCTTGACATTTTTTAAGAGAACAGGCCATTTTGGTGAATTGTCCCTCATTTGGATTTGACTGATGTTTATGTTTAAATTCAGGTTACATTTTTTTTGTTGTTTGTTTGGTAAGTTGGTGTGCATTTTATTTTCTCCTTAAAAATAAAACACACACACACACAGAAGAAAGCAGATCCACTGAAAATGAAAGTGATATCCAGTCAATGCTACTAGTAGGATGGGCCAGTGTTTCTACTTCTGTGGTCTGGATGAGAAGGTTTTCTATTTGTTTGGCTGGATCAGTTTCACCATTTGGTGTTCCAGGTGAGTCATTCAGTTTTGGTTTCTCCATGAAAGAGTCCCCTTTGGAGTTCACTCTAAGGCCCACATGTGTTTGTTTCTGCTGCTGAGGTGGTCTGATCAGATGACAATATGGTAAAGGCTTCCACATTTCCAGCTGCCCAGAGTTTCTTTTTTTGTTGTTGTTTGTTTTTATTTTAATTCCAGTATAGGTAACATACAGTGTTATAGAAGTTTCAGGTATACAATACAGTGATTCAACAATTCTATACATTACTCAGTGCTCATCATGATAAGTATACTCTTTAATCCCCATCATCTACTTTCCCCATTCCCCCATCTACCACCCATCTGGGAATCATCAGTTTGTTCTCCATAGTTAAGAGTTTGTTTCTTGGTTTGTCTCTTTTTCCCTTAAGTTTGTTTTGTTTCTTAAATTCCACATGAATGAAATCATATGGTATTTGTCTTTCTTTGACTGACTTATTACACTTAGCATTGTACTCTCTAGCTCCATCCATGTATTACAAATGACAAGATCTCATTCTTTTTTATGCCTGAATAATATTCCATGGTATGTACATACCACTTCTTTATCTATTCATCTATCGATGGCTACTTCCAAATTTTGGCTGCTGTAAATAGTGCTGCAATACACATAGGGGTGCATACATCCCTATGAATTGGTGTTTTTGCGTATTTTGGGTAAATATTCATTTTTTTAAGATTTTATTTATTTATTTGAAAGAGACAGCGAGAGAGGGAACACAAGCAGGGGGAGTGGGAGAGGGAGAAGCAGGCTCCCTGAGGAGCAGGAAGCCCGATGTGGGACTCGATCCCAGGACCCCAGGATCATGACCTGAGCTGAAGGCAGATGCTTAACCATCTGAGCCACCCAGGCACCCTTGGGTAAAATTCAGTACTGTGATTACTGGATGGTAGAGTAGTTCTATTTTTAACTTTTAGAAAAACCTCCATACCGTTTTCCACAGTGGCTGCACCAGTTTGCATTCCCACCAACAGGGCAAAAGGGTTCCTTTTTCCCCATATCCTCACCGACACTTGCTGTTTCTTGTTTCTGATTCCAGCCATTCTGACAGGTGTGGGATGATAACTCATTGTAGTTCTGATATGCATTTCCGTTATGATGAGTAATGTTGAGCATCTCTTCATGTGTCTGTTGGCCATCTGTATGTCTTCTTTGGAGAAATGTCTCTTACTGTCTTTTTTGAAAAATTTTATTTAAATTCCAGTTAGTTAACATAGAGTGTAATATTAGTTTCAGGTGTATAATTTAGTGATTCAACACTTACATACAACATCCAGTGCTCATCACAAACAAGTGCACTCCTTAATCCCCATCATCCATTTAACCCATCCCCCTACTCCCTCCCCTCTGGTAACCATCAGTTTGTGCTCTATAGTTAGGAGTCTGTTTCTTGCTGTGTCTTTCTCCTTTTTCCCCTATGATCATTTGTTTTGTTTCTTAAATTCCATATATGCGTGAAATCATATGGTATTTTGTCCTCCTCTTATTTTGCTTAGCATAATACTCTCTAGCTCCCTCCACTGTTGATGGTAAGATTTCACTATTTTTTATGGCTAAATAATATTCCTGTGTGTGTGTGTGTACTTTATTTTTATTTTTTTACAGATTTATTTACTTGAGAGAAAGAGAGCAAGAGAGCATGAGTGGGGGCAGGGGTAGAGGGAGAGAGAGAATCTCAAGCAGACTCTGCGCTGAGTGCAAGCCCAATGCAGAACTCGATCTCATGACCCCAAGATCATGACCTGAGCCGAAATCAAGGTTGGATGCTTAACCAACTAGCCACCCAGTGGCCCCTGTACTTCTTCTTCCTCTTCCTCTTCTTCTTCCTCTTCTTCTTTTAAAGATTTTATTTAGTTTTTGACAGAGAGACAGTGAGAGAGGGAACACAAGCAGGAGGAGTGGGAGGAGAAGCAGACTTCCCACGGAGCAAGGAGCCTGATGTGGGGCTCGATCCCAGGACCCTGGGGTCATGACCCGAGCCAAAGGCAGACGCTTAACAACTGAGCCACCCAGGCATCCTGTACTACTTCTTCTTTATCCATTCATCAGTTGATGGACATTTGGGTTCTTTTCATAAGATAATGCTGCTATAAACATCAGGGTGCATGTATCCCTTCAAATTAGTATTTTTGTATTCTCTGGGTAAATTCTCTGGGTAAATAGTGCAATTGCCACATCACAGGGCGGTTTTATTCTTAACTTTTTAAGGAACCTCCATACTGTTTACCAGAGTGGTTGCACCAGTTTACATTCTCACCAACAGTGTAAGAGGGTTCCCCTTTCTCCACATCCTTTCCAACACTTGGGTTTCTTATGCTATTAATTTTAGCCATTCTGACCAGTGTGAGGCAATATCTCATTGAAGTTTTGATTTCTGTTTCTCTGATGAGTGATGTTGAGCACCTTTTCATATACCTGTTGGTCATCTGTATGTCTTCTTTGGAGAAATGTCTCTTCATGTCATCTGTCCATTTTTTAATTGAATTATTTTTTGGGTGTTGAGTTGTATTAGTTCTTTATATATTTTGGAAACTAACCCTTTATCAGATATGTCATTTGCAAATATCTTTTCCTATTCTGTAGGTTGACTTTTAGTTTTGTTGATTGTTCCCTTGACTGTGCAGAAGCTTTTTATTTTGATGTAGTCCCAGTAGTTTATTTTTGCTTTTATTTCCCTTGTCTTAGGAGACATACCTAGAAATATGTTGCTACAGATGTTGTCAGAGAAATTACTGCCTGTGTTCTTTTCTAAGATTTTTATGGTTTCAGGCCTCACATTTAGGTACTTAATCCAATTTGAATTTATTTTTGTGTATAAGAAAGTGGTCCGGTTTCATTCTTTTGCATGTAGCTGTCCAGTTTTCCCAACACCATTTGTTGAAGAGACTATTAGGATGCATGATGTCTATTTGTTCCATTACTAATAATGTTAACTTTGACAACTTGGTTAAGTTGGTGCCTCAGCTGTAAAGTTGCTTTTTTTCCTTTAGTGATTAATAAGTATCTTGTGGGGAGGTATTTTGACACTATAAAACTATCCACCTTTGTCATCAACTCTTCATGTTCTAGTTGTAGGATCCATTGATGATTCCTGCCTGAAACATTTCCTGGCTATTTTTACATATTTGTATTTCCATATGAATTCTGTATCAACTTATCTAGCTCTATAAAAAAAGCATGTTGGCGGGAGTCTGGGTGGCTCATTCAGTTAAGTGGCTGCGTTCGGCTCAGGTCATGATCCCAGCGTCCTGGGATGGAGCTCCATGTCAGGCTCCCTGCTCAGCGAGGAGCCTGCTTCTCCCTCTGCCTGCCGCTCCCTCTGCTTGTGCTCTCTATCTCTGTGTCAAATAAATAAATAAAAAATCTTAAAAAAAAAAGGCATGTTGGCATTTTTTAAAGATTATGTTAAAATTACAAATTAAAGAGAACTGCCCTTTCATTTGTCAAATCTATGTATCTTTCTGAAGTATTTTAAAGTTTTCTTCAAATAGCTTTTGTATACTTCTTGTTTTTTTATTCCTAAGTATTTTATCTTCTTTGTTGGTATTTAATTGGGGTTTTCCCTACGACTATATCCTCTAACTGGTAAATGTTTGTATATGTAAATGATTTTAGGTTCTATTGAATTATATTAAATGCTAATTTTATAGCTTGCTGGTTACTGAATTATTTTATTGTTTGAGTTAGTTACATAATATATAATGATTCTCTAGGTCAGGAGTCCACAATCTTTTTCTATAAAATGTCAGAATACTTTCAGCTTTGTTGGGTCAAACCATTTTTACAACTATCCAACTGTGACAGTGGAAGGAAAAGTAACTACAAGGCAATGCACAAACAAAATGATATGACCAGATTTGGACACTGGGCTACTTTACTGATTCCTGCTCTAGGGTTTTCCAGGTATACTATCTTATCTGCAAATAGAGTTTTCTTATTTTCTAATTGTTATGCCTCTACTGATTGCTCTTTTTAAACTGCATTGCCATTAGTGGAGTTACTGGATATCCTTGCCTTGTTCCTAATGGTAGTAGTGAAAAAACCCTTAGTGTTTCCCATTACGATGATGTTAAAATTAAAATATCCATCAATTCCTATTTGTTGAGTGTTTTTACTAAGTGTTGATTTTTAAAGGTCATTTCAGCATCTATATATGATTTGTCTCTTTATATTCAATATGGGATATATTAATGGGTTTCCTAATATTTAACCAACTTTGTGTTCCTAGAAAGAATCCTACATGGTCATGGTGTATTATTTTCTTAATGCGGTATTGGAATTTGTTAAGCAAGATTTTATCTAGTACTTTGTATCAGTATTTATAATTGAATTTGGTCTATAATTTCTTTTTTGTATTTTCTTTAAGAATTGGTATTATTCATTTTCAATGATCTGGAACAATTTATAGAGCATTGAGGCTATTTGGTGTTTAGATGTTTCATAAAATATCCTTGTGGTACCATGTGGGCCTGGTGTTTTTTTAGAAAGTAGTCTTTGATATCTTTATGTCTTTAAAGAAATTAGACTAATTCGGGGTACCTGGGTGACTTTGGTAAGCATCCGACTCATGATTTTTGGCTAAGGTCATGATCTCAGAATTGTGAGATCAAGCCCTACATTGGGCTCTGGGCTGGGCTTGGAGCTTGCTTAAGATTCTCTCTCTCTCCCTCTCCCTCTGTCATTCCTCTCTCTCCTTCTCGCTTTCTCTCACCTGCTGCCTCTCTAAAAAAAAAAAAAAATGAAATTAGATTATCTCAAATAAATAGTATTTACTTTGAAATTATCTTTTTCATTTAGGTTTTCAATTATATTTAAAGAGAGGTCTGCAAAGGAGATTCTTATATTTTTTAAAATTTGAGCTATAATTCCATATCATAAAATTGAACTTTTTACACTGTTATGGGCTGAACTGTGTCCCCTCTCCCTCCAAATTCGTATGCTGAATTCATCTAGTACCTCAGAACGTAAATATATTTGGAGACAGGGCCTTTAAAGTAATTAAGGTAAAATGAGGACATATGGATGGGCTCTAATTCAGTATTACTGGTCCTTATCAGAAGAGGAGATTAGAATACAGGCAACACACAGACCAAGAAGTGACCATGTAAGGACACAGTGAGAACACAGCCATCTACAAGCCAAGGTCAGGCCTCAGAATAAAATCAACCCTGCTGACACCTTCATCTCAGACTTCCAGCCTCCAGAAGTGTGAGAAATAAATTCCATTGTTTAAGTCACTCAGTCTGTGGCATTTATGATGGCAGCCCTACTACATAAAATATACATATATATACAATTCAATGGTTTTAGGTGTATTCACATGTTTATGCAACCATCACCACTGTGTAATTCTAAAGCATTTTCATCACTCCAAAAAGAAACCCTGTACCTGTCGGCTATCACTCCCAATTTCTGCTTTCCATAGTCCCTGGAAACCATTAAATCTATTTTCTATCTCCTTACATGTTGATATCCATTTGTCCTAGAACCCACTGTTGAAAATACTTTTCTTTCCCTATTGAATTGTCTTGGCATCCTTGGTAAAAATAAACTGACCATAAAGATGTTATTTTTGTACTTTTTCTTCTTTTACTTTTAAAAAATTTTTTTGTTCTGTTAATCAGTGTACTTTTTTTTTTTGAGAGAGAGAGAGGTGGCCCCTGTGCATGTGCACAAGTGGGGAGTTGGGAGGGGCAGAGGGAGAGAGAGCGAATCTTAAGCAGGCTCCATACCCATCACAGAGTCTGGCACAGGGCTTGATCTCACAACCCTGAGATCATGACCTGAGCCACCCAGGAACCCCTACTTTTGTAGTTTCAATTCTATTCCACAGATCTATTCCATGTCTATCTTTATGTCTGGGTGTTTCTGTTGTTTTTTTTTTTTTTGTGAAGGGTGAAGGGTAATAGGCATTTTCATCAACAGAAACAATTTTTATTCTCATTTCCTGTTTTCTTTTGAAATTAGTTTTATGTAGTTCACATTGCTGTCACCTCTGTATTTCTGTGAACAAGACTGACTGGAGCAGTTTCTAAGATTCCTATATCTTATACCAGATAGAATGTTCTCTGCTTTGAGTAAAGAATGATTTCTTTACTGATGGGATTTGGGGGGCATGGCAATGTGAAGGGATTTGCCCTTCTGTTTTTAAAAATATTCTTCTGAGGATGCCTG